TGTTAGAGTGCATCCCACATCGGAAGTTCAAGAGTAAAATAACCGGTATATAAGCTCTTGAGTTGGACTAACTAATCGATTGGATTCAATCTTTTAATGTGGTTCAACCCAAGTGTCTTATTGCCCAATCCAGTTGTCCATACCCCATCCTAAATTCTATCAGACATTTTAAGTGATTCAAGTTTTAAAGCTTTTCACATAGTTATAATCATTGGGAAAATAATCTCACTTTGAACAGTTAGTTGGGGACATTTAGAAAAAAAGAATCTAGATCTTCCTAGTTTAACCTTATATTAGAGAGTAAGCCGTTACTAGACTGGAACCACGCATTAGTTGATACGTAGTTTTACTTCGGATACCTCCCCGTGACCTCGAGTCCAGTAATCAGAAGTGAACTTTAGACCCACGGGGTCATCGTTGAGTTCTCGTGCGCATGTTGTGGTATGATTATTTGTACGCTCATCCACTTGGACACATACGATTTGGCCTTATAATGCGTGGTTAAACAACTCGGTAAAACGTGACAATACCTGGTCAGGGTATGTCGTTATATTAACTATGAAGCTTTCACTTCGTCCATTAACTGTTGATAAACCCTAACATGGTCATTTAAGCAAAACCACTTATTGATAACTTCAATCATAAACATTTTCAAAATCTTGGGTCAATTAGTGCCCCCTTTGTTTTAAAAACAATTAGTTGTTGCACGCGGAAAAACTTCACTTAACAATTAGTGTCCCCTTTGTTTTAAAGAATATATATTTACATGTTTAAGTCTATTAATTAAATACAACATCTACATCTTATCAATCTTAGGAAACAAACAATGACTAATACTTTTTTTTAGTTCATAAATATATGTGTATATAATCGGGCCTTTATATACATATAAAACTAATTGTGCTAACTTTTATATTTTTTTAAAATTTTTTTTTCTATGATATTCACACCTTTAAATTTAATTGCCAGAGTGTAGATTTATTTACTATGTTCGGTCTTAATTAAAAAGAACTCAAGTTTGTTGTTTTTTTGTTGGCTAAAATCCACCATTGGTCCTTCAACTTTATCAGTTGTGCACGATTGGTCCTTCAAGTTTAGAAAATCCATAAATAGTCCTTCAACTTTATGAGTTCTGCACTATTGGTCCTTCAAGTTTCAAAAGTCCATAAGTAGTCCTTCAGGTACACGTCAGCCCTCCATATGAAGTCCCTTTGATCGTAAATATTAAAACTTAAACGAAATACTAGTTTCATATAATACGAGTAAATTCCACTAGTTACGACTACTCCGTATTATATGGAGCTAGTATTCCATTTAACTTTTAACATTTACTGTCAAAAGGACCTCATCTGGAGGGCTGACATGCACTTGAAGGACTATTTATGCACTTTTAAACTTGAAGGACCAATCGTGCATAACTCATAAAGTTGAAAGACTATTTATGGACTTTTAAAACTTGAAGGACCAATCGTGCACAATTGATAAAGTTGAAGGACCAATGGTGGAGTTTAGCCTTTTTTTGTTAGACAATACATTATATGAATAACATTAAAAAAACTTATTTAGTTATTTAATTTATTTTGGCTTGGGTTGTATAAATATATTATTATCATTATTATTTTGTGATCGGCCAACAATTATCACAACTAAAAATAGTTATTTAACATTTTCACATATTACTCAAATTTGATATTCTAGACCTACATATTAATTTACTTGCACTCTTATTCTTTGTTTTTTAACAAGCTATAAAGAAAAAAACATTGGGACCCTTTTTTATTGTTTTTATGCATTAATTTTTTTTCTTTTTTTGTTCACATGAACACTAATAGGAACATCAGGTATAACAATTGAAATATTTTATTAGGCTTGTAAGATTTTTTTATATAGTTAACATCATATTTGGTTTATTTATATAACAGTGGATAAAGCTTTGATGTTGTTAACAAAACGAAAGTTGAATAGAGCTTCGGTAATACCTCCTCGCTATCACGCTACGTTGCTTTCCCAACACTCTCTCTCTAAAGAACAGTTACATTTTCTTTGTAACATTTTTTCACACTTAATATTTTATTTTTTTAAGATAATAATTTCATTATTTACTCAAAAGTTAAAAATTTTGAGACCAATTTTTAAGGCGTTACAACGACCACCGAAGAAGAAATCAAAGGCGGCGAACAAACCACAAGTTGGATCTGAAACACCGTGTACCGGTGAATCATCTGCGGGCAATGAGGATGAAAAGATGAATCTAGATATGAACAAACAAAATCCGGTGACTACACAATTGAAAACATTTTGATACGATCAAACGGAACAAGAGGAACTTCGAGCGTCCCCGGATTCCAAGAACAAAGGAAACTAGGGTTTTTTTTATTAATCTTCTCTGCGTTGCCAAGGAGACATACATCTCTTTATATAACAAAACCCTAATCTCACCCTACTTACTAGGTTATCTATCCTGACGGTTCAAGAAAAGCGACGAGGTAAAGAACTGTAAAGAAACCCTCGAAGAAGCGTATAATTACGCTCACCTAAGCAAATCTAAATACAATAATAATAATAATAATAATAATAATAATAATAATAATAATAATAATAATAATAATTACTACTACGGGGTGTAGTCTTTAAGCCATGCCGGACGTCTTGTCTCACGACCACTCCGTCTAACCCTGGGTGCTTCACGTCCTTCCTCCTCCGTGATCTCTTCCACGTCGGGTATGCCGGTTGCATCATTCGTATCATCCCCTCCCGGTTCGAGAAACACCTTGTCCTCAAGGTGTAACTGAGGATAAGATTGTCGTATCGTTTCAAGGGGCTCCCAGGAAGCGTCATCCAAATTGCCATCAGACCATTCCACTAAAATTTGCTCCACTGAAAAGCAGTGCTCAAAGCCAATGTCGTCCCACTAAGGCGCAACATCTCCTTCCAAAAGGTGCTGGTGAAAATTTTGCCACGATCGGATGTGATTGTTTTTGGAAACCCGTGTAGCTTGACCACCATATCAACAAAAAGGAATGCCACCCTATGAGCATCAAAATCCGTTGGCAAGGCCCCCAAATGTGCGAATTTCGATAGACGATCACCAACCACAAAAATAATGGTAAACCCCCAAGACGGTGGTAAACCCACGATAAAATCCATTGAAATGTCGTCCCAAACCTGGAGTGGGACGGGCAATGGTTGTAACAAGCCCGAAGGGGGTTGAGTAGAGTACTTTGTTGTTTGGCAGACGAGGCATGCTTGAACATAACGGTGGACATCTTGCCGCATCCCTTTCCAATAAAACACCATGGCCAACCTTTGGTAAGTCGTGTGTACACCGGGGTGGCCGGCCATTGGGGTGTCATGATATTCACGAATGAGTGCGTCACGCAAATTGGACTGGGAACTAATGCATAATCGCCGTTTTTAGTAAAGCACCCCGTCAGTGATGGTATAAGGTGACGGCAAGCGGCCTGTAGCATGAGCTGTGTGTAGGGCAACCAATTCAGGATCTGTGGTGTTAGCCTGCCGATTGCCGAATGGCCTCCATGACAGAGGGTACGAGATGGGATGTAAAAGCCATCAAAGGAGTCCCAACAAGGCTCTCCTCCCGCCGAGATAAGGCATCAGCCACTTTATTCGACGCCCCAGTCTTATACTCAATTCGAAAGCGAAACCCCAAAAGTTTTCGAACGTAATACTGTTGATCCGGGGTTTGAACGACCTGCTGCAATAGTTCTTTAAGACTCCGCTGATCTGTGCGGATGAGAAACTCGCGACCCAACAAATATTGTCGCCACTTTTGCACGGCCTCCACTATTGCAAAAAGCTCCTTATGATATGTTGATGCCGCTAATTTACGGGGTCCGAGTTTTTTGCTAAAGAAAGCCACCGGTTGTTCATTTTGCAGGAGCACCGCACCCACACCAGTGGAGCACGCATCGGTCTCAATAACGAATGGAAGAGCAAAATCAGGCAATCGGAGCACCGGGGCAGTGGACATTGCATGTTTGAGGTGAGTGAAGGCGGCCTGGGCAGCTGCGTTCCAAATGAAAGTCCTTTTTTAACAAATCTGTCAAAGGACCGGCTATATGGGAGTAATGACGCACGAAGCGTCGATAATACCCGGTGAGGCCCAAAAAACCGCGAAGCTGTCGTAGCGATTTGGGTTCCGGCCAAGAGAGCATGGCCTCCACTTTCGTATGATCTGCCTGGAGCTCCCCCTTTGTGATTATATGGCCCAAATAAGCTATGGTAGGGGTACAAAAAGTACATTTAGAAAGTTTGACAAAAAACTTGTGTTGTAGTAATAGAGACAATACGGTGCGAAGATGTCCCTCATGAGCTGTCGTAGTGGCGCTATAAACCAAAATTTTATCAAAAAACACAATCACAAATTTGCGTAAGTGGGCCGTGAACAAGCGATTCATGCACGCTTGGAACGTTGAGGGGGCATTGGTTAATCCAAATGGCATAACTAGAAATTCGTAATGCCCCTCGTGTGTCCGGAATGCCGTTTCGTATACATCCTTTTGAACCATCCGGATTTGGTGATACCCCGAACGCAAATCCAATTTGGTGAAGCACCGTGCATGACCGAGTTCATCAAAAAGCTCGTCCGCTGTGGGGATAGGGAAGTGATCCGGAACCGTGACGTTGTTTAATGCCCGATAATCAACACAAAAACGGTAAGACCCATCCTTCTTTTTAACAAGTAAAACCGGAGACGAAAAAGGGCTTCGGCTGGGTTGTATAAGGCCTTTTTCTAGCATCTCCCGGACTTGCCGTTCAATCTCTATTTTCTGGAAATGAGGGTAACGATAAGGCGGACATTAACGGGATGGCTCCCTGGAAGAAGAAAGATGCAATGGTCAGCGCTGCGCCGTGGTGGTAAGGATGAAGGTTCGTCAAACAAGGACGAAAAATCGCGGAGGAGCTGCTGTATGGAACCCGGCAGCTCCCTGGCAGACTGCTGGACATCATCCCCGTGGCTCAAAAAATAAAGTTCAAAGCAGGGCCCTATGTTTCGCTGTGCATAAAGGCGATTGAAAGTGTGGGCACTTAGAGCCTGCAGAGGAGTGGTTCCACCTTTTAAGGATATGATCTTATCATGCCAGGTGAATTCCATCGTCATGGTGGCATAATCGTGGGTGACACGACCAAGTTGTTGCAGCCATTGGACCCCAAGAACGACATCTTGACCATGAATAGGCAAGACAAAAACATCTACAGGAAAGAGGGTACCTTGGAGTGTCAACTGGAGATCCACACACTGCTTATCGCAAGGGAGAGAATCACCATTACCCACGTACACACGAAACGGTGGAACGAGTAATACCGGAATCTGGAGCCTGGAAATTAATGCAGGATGGATAAAATTATGGGTGCTACCCCCATCAATTAAGACTTGAACATCGGTTGTTGCAAGACGACCCATTAGGCGGAGGGAGCGTGGAGTCGGCGCCCCATCCAGTGTGTTCAAGCTCGAGATATCAGCGGATATGCACTGTTCGAGGGGGGTTTCAGGAGTATCCAGAGCGTCATCATCTTCATTGTCGCACAACAATAGAAAACGACCACAACGGTGCGTTTTGGACCACTTTTGGTCGCAATTATAACAGAGTCCTTTGGCGTTCCGTTCAAGACGTTCCGCCCGTGACAAACGACGTACTGGTCCCGAAAGCACCGAGTCGCTGTGAGCGCTGGGCTTGGGGTTGGGGGGCTGTTCGCTGGCGTTTCCTGGTGATGGCCAACCACTTGAAACCGGAGGTCGCGGCTGGGGAAGGGAATGCCAGGGGCTCAAACGCTGACTGACGGATTGAAGGAGAGTAGTGTGCTTAGCCTCAAGCTACCGTGCCAGGGCGAAAGAATCGGACAGAGTGGCTGGTTTCAACAAGGCAATCTCATGTTGGAGATGAGGTTTCAGCCCCGCATGGAAGAGAGACATGAGATTTTCTTTAGTAGCACCAGTGACATGTTGAAGGACGTGTTCAAACGAGGTTTGGTAGTCCATAACCGACCCTGTCTGGCGAAGATTTGCAAGTTGCCCGAAATAATCCACATAGTGCAAGGCATCAAAACGGAGCTTAAACTTGGTCACGAAATCCTCATAGTCTGTGATCAGACGGCCGTTCATGCGCCACCGAAACCAGTCGGCGGCCGGACCCTCGAGCATCAACGCAAGAGGAACTTCGAGCGTCCCCGGACTCCAAGAACAAAGGAAACCAGGGTTTTTTTATTAATCTTATCTGCGTTGCCAAGGAGACATACATCTCTTTATATAACAAAACCCTAACCTCACCCTACTTACTAGGTTATCTATCCTGACGGTTCAAGAAAAGCGACGAGGTAAAGAACCGTTAAGAAACCCTCGAAGGAGCGTATAATTACGCTCACCTAAGCAAATATAAATACAATAATGATAATAATAATAATAATAATAATAATAATAATAATTATAATTATAATTACTACTACGGGGTGTAGTCTTTAAGCCATGCCGGACGTCTTGTCTCACGACCACTCCGTCTAACCCTGGGTGCTTCACGTCCTTCCTCCTCCGTGATCTCTTCCACGTCGGGTATGCCGGTTGCATCATTCGTATCACATTTGTTGAAGTAGTGGCGAAAAAGAGAGAAACTCGAATCTGAACTCAAATTTGAACAGACGGAGGATATAAATGGAAAAGAGGCAGAAACCTGTGAAGCAAGATAATGAAGAACATGAAGTTCAAATCAAGGAAACCTTGGACTCCAAGGATGAAGATGGTTTTCTAGATAGTGGACATGGGGAAAAGTGTAAAAAGAGGCCACTTGTTTGGAGAGCGGGTTTATGAGGGTTCCTCTATAAATAAAATATTCCATGATGCCCGGGCATTATGTTTTCCTCTCATGATAGGATGCTGGAATATTAGGGGTCTAAAAGCCCCAATAAATAAGAAGACATAAAAAGGTTTATTAGTAATAATAACATTGGGAGTATATTCCTAAGTTAGATACATGCCACTATTAGAAACAAATGATTAAAGTAAGAAGAATATTTGATGGCATGACTATACAGGGTGAATATGAGATAAAAAAGGGCTACCAGTGGCTTCAAGGGACTAATAACAGCCCCCCTTGGAAAGACTGGGTATGGAACACACTTACCCCTCCTAAATTCCAATTTTTTTGTTAATTATGCAAGGCAAGATTCAGACCATGAAGTTATTGGTACCAGATCTCGATAAACAGAAAACAGAAATCTAGAACAAGAACTTATTGGAAATCCTTCTCCAATTAATTGAAAAACTTTGAATGCATAAAATACAGAGAAACTATCCCTATTTATAGATGAGTTAACCTTGTCCACCAAGTTAAATCATCAGCCTTGCTCTCCAAGCATAACATCTCCTACTCCTACAAGCTATGATAATCTCAAATCCATCTGAGATATATCTCCTAAAATTATGACTGACTCTACCCTAATTATTAACAAATAAAGACTTCAACATAATTACAAAATAAACCCCCTAACTATTACTGAATGTCAAGATTGGTCCAACAATCACCCTCCCAATCTTGACCTTGAGTCTTCTTTTACTTCTTTGAGTCCTTCGAGTCTTCAATCCTT